AAAGAGTTACAAAATTAATTTTGTTACTAAGAAAATGGGATATATTTTGGTAGTGATGGTGGTCCAACAGCTTCAAGGCATGCACGACTAGCTTAGGAAGTTGTGAAGAGCTTCCATAACATATTATTATGCAGGCCATGGATGACAATACTTCAACAGTTTACCACATGAAAATATCTGTTGACTAACTTTATAGTGCATCCCCTGAAAGCAGAGTGGAACCTGAATATTTTGTGTCAGAACTGAGTGATAAGATAACTGTAGGTCATGTTCAGGGTACCCAGTGGGTGGTGGCAAGCATCCAGCAAAAATTATACATATATATAGCCTAAAAACAAAAAATTAGTATGTAGTGTAAATTTTGTTCTGAGCATAGGGCTCATATTAGATGCTATAACAGAACTTCAGAAACTATCAATAAATTGTGAGATATGCAAATTACATTACCAGAGGCTTATTGTCTCATTTACTTGAAATGTCATGTGTTCAAGTCGATGAACAAATTCCAGATGAATGTTAATAAGAAGCTTAAAATTTACCTAATAAATCAAAATTCAAATGGATTAAATTGGAGAAATGTGATAAACAGCAAAAAATGAGTCAAACAGACATTTTAAAAAGTTAAGTGAGAACATTAACAGCCATATGTTTACTACAGGAGCTTCACATACTTCATCAGAAAATGACAATCAATCTAACAGAAAAATATAATTATTTTAATAAACCATGTAGGCATTTATGATATAACAAAGTGTCCAAAAGTAAAATACTCATTCTTCTGAGAGTAACATATGTGCAAAAATGCCTCCTTCAATTTCAGGAATTTCATTAATATATTTAGTTCTAATTATGACACAATTCTGAAAGACATCCAACCATTGAAAACTGCTCAAGAAACACTAATCATATGAACAGCGAAATGTGAACAATGTACTCCATCTAATATAAGAAATTCACTGTTACTGGAAACAACGGTCAGTTTTATAATGTTTCATGTCGTCATCAAATCTGCAGTTAATAATTTTAATATCAAAGACTACATAAAGTAGTGGTTGTGACGGCCATCAGGATGCTAATTGCACAGATTGTACAGCCCTTATAGTAAGGTGTGTTGAACAGAAAATATTAGGAAACTGTTTTTAAGGTATACTGCACATAATAAGAAAGCATATTTTGATTATGTTGGGATTTATTTTCAGAATCACCCATCAACACCATTTCAGAAAATGAACTCAAATTATTCAAAACTAAATATTTTCATTTGCCCAAAAACTGTGATGTTTATTTTATAGTCAATCAGTTGGATCTCTCGGAAGAACCAATCAAAACACTTTTTGGTAAAAATCAGCCAATCAAACCCTTTCTCCATGAAATTAATGAGCAAAAAAGTAATTGATCCTTTCCATTTTCAGCATGAACAAACACAGTCATTTTGCTTTATATATTAGCTAATGTTACAATTAAACCTTTAAGATATAGATAAAAATCATAATATTTATATTAATAAAATTATTTAATATTATGATTTGTGAACTATCAAAGGCTGTCTATTTCCTTTTTTACTTTTAACCTCTGACTGTACAGGCATCCATGCCCCTTCAGATAAAATGCTTGCAGACTTGGTAGAAAACATCCTACCACTTCTTCAACCTCAAGCATTGACAGCAACATGTATATAATACAGACATGCACAACTCAGGTTCTAATGTAATAAATATACTGTGACTGTTTGTCTCATACACGCTTACTCTGAAGGGGTATACAGCTTCCTCAAACAGCAAGTCTAAGAGGACAACAATAAAAGGTTTACTTTGATCAAGTGTTTAGTCTTAAAAGTTACTAGTTTCTATGCACTGCAGCTGGACTACAACATTTATATTTTTAATAAATACCATAGACTTCTGATAGAAAAATACTCAATTATATTTATAATGTTTTAACAGATAAAAGACAACATTCATGTATATCAAATTATAGGATGATTAGTAGTAATAACAGGAAAGAATATGCAGGAAGTGGTCATGGCATAACGTAACATACTATACTGACATCTGTCTAGACAGAATGAGGAAATACACAAAAAACAAAACAACATAAATCAAGAGTGCTAAGCACAACCTTGACATCTGATAGTAAGAATAAGAAAAACTTTACACACTTGCAGACAGGCATCAATTAATTTAAGAAAGCTACCAAACTGGTAAAAGAATACAATGGTAATCTATTTGCACATATCCACAGTACTTTAAATAAATGAAAAAATCACTTCAGTCAGCTATTACATGGGGTTCAGGATGTTAAGTACGGAGTGAGGTATGTACAATTTGTGCCCAAGCTTAGTCTGAAACTGCTATCAGAAGTTTAAATGATGTATGTTGCTGCAGTGGAAGGAATCTATTATTGCACTATCTATAAAAGCGGCAATAAAACAGACAGCAATAATTACTGAGGAACATCAGTCTTATGAATATATACATAATTTTCTCCCAAGGTCAACTATGCATGTAGAATAAATCAAATATAATATGATATATACGATCAAGTACTGATCAAACAATCTGCATTTGTAAGATATAGGAGTGCAATGATTAGATCAATAATCAGCCAATGCTCTTTTCAAATCAAACAGAATGACAGCAGTGTTGCAACACTATCAGCTTTCCAGCAGTACAACTTGCAGTCAATACCAGTAAAATGGAATAAATGTTATTTCTTATGAGTTAAGGCATTATTTAATGAAAAAGCATATATTTTTCTTTTGTATTTCAGGGAGACAACTGCCCAAATATTGTAAACAAAGGATGAAGAATAGCATTACTTAATGTAAAAATGGCATTTCAGTAAATTAAACATTTTAGACTTTTCTTAAATACAAGTTTAAAAAATACAATTACTTTTGCTTTCCAGCTATGATGTCAATAACCTAACACCAAATGCATTAAAATCTGAGTACAATATAAAGTAATGGTGTGTATCATACCTATAAAATCTTGGCTAGTAATTTTTCCTAGTGACTGCGACATAAAAGGGGGTGTTCCTGATGGTGCCTTGTTCCACCATTTTCCATACGTTCTCTGTAAGAGGAAATAATCTATTTAAATTCCAGTCTAGAACTGTTATTAGCTACTGCATTATCTTACCATGAAAACTGGACTAAACATAAATTATGCATAAAAAGCTATTTAGCTTATCACATTACACTTATCTTTACTTGGATCTGCATATTAAAAAGCAAAGCAATTGAGAGTGTATGAACTAAGTATTATTCTCTTAATTCATTAAGGCAAGAATGTAGTTCCTCCTATTGCCTTGATCTGAAAAACATAACCAATACAATGCAAGTTTCTTCTAAACAAATGCATGACAGAAAAAATAAAAAGTGGCAATATCATATATACATAAAATATGTATGCATTACATGATTTATAATAAAGTCTAATTAAAGACTGCAAAATGTATGAGATTTACTACTAACATATGTGGTAACTTATCACAGAAGAAGTGCATGAATTTATACATTCTCATCCTGTGGAAGCTCTGATTCCCTGTTGTTTTCTTCTACTGCAATGTACTGATTTTACAAAAGATGTCATAATAATAATAATAGTTAATTAAAAATCTTGTTTTTCAAACTACAATTCTATAAGTCAAAGTTCAATTTCAGATTATGTATATTGTCAACACTAAACCTACCATAACAAATGCTTGTGGGAAGTCCCCATAATCTGGAAATTTACTAGGTTTTCCAGTAATGTTGTATGCTGTATACGATATGCTAACATCACTACCATACTGAGAACTAAAGCCTATGACATCTTGCACAAATTGTTCAATAAATACAATATCATTTTCACTTGAATTCGAAACATCAAACGATGTTACTTCCTCATCATCTACCATTTTTTGTAGATTATGTTTTTAATTTTCTTCGTCAGTGGCATCACAACCGTTTTAAAAATCTCCGAGCCCGAAAAACGGAAATCCTCTTTTTAACATTATGTCTACTAGCTAGTACGGTGTGGAAAAATGTTTTCGTATTCAAAATAAAATGATTATACAAGAAATACGACACATTACAATACCACGGAGAACGATATTGGCATTTCTGATGTTGGTAGGTAGACTATGGTTGTTATTACTGTTCCCACAATGCGACAAGTGCGAAACGAAATGTGTTGTTGGCTCATTTGTTCTGACACGTAGCACCTAGTGTGATACGAGGCAGTATAAACGTCTTGTTATTGTGTCATTTTGTTTTCCATATTTATTTAATAATTCAGAAATATGTCTGGGAAACAGTCAAAAGCCTTTACAAAGGAAGAAGAGCTGCTTCTCCAGGATTTTAGCAGAAATGTGTCGACAAAATCATCTGCGCTGTTCTATGGGAATGCATTTATTGTTTCGGCCATACCAATATGTAACTAAACGTAGTCTGTAAACGAGTATTAGTTAGTCATGGTTTCGTATTTATTCATGAGTTATTTAACATCAATAGCGTCCATGCTCTTAGTTTTAAACATTACTTCTAAATTTTATTTTAAAAACGTGGCCAATATCCTTGTAAATCTGGCTGTTGCAATGACCATTCTAAGAAACAAAATGTTAAGCACACTAAGGTATTTGTACTGATGATTTTTACAGTGTTACGGAGGACTTTAAATATTAATTTTTTAACAGGGTTATTCTGGAGAATCCATATGATTGACCTGTACTCATCAGTTATATCCTTCATCGCTGTGACATTAGCCAGTACATATTTGGTTGCATTGGCATATAAGAACACGAAGTTTGTTTTGAAACATAAGGTAAGTTCTGACACAAAAAGCATTCGTTGTCAACCAAACTAAAGGAAACATTTAATTTGTTCAGTCTGTTGCTGTGTATGTTTTGGGAAACAAACCAGATTGCCACAGGTGCTTGTAATATTGAACAGTTTTTAACACTTAGCATCTGCGTTCTTTACAAAACCATATTTAGTAACACTTAACTGGATGTTGTTCTTAGGTTGCTGTGAAAAGAGAAGAAGCAGTTACCAGAGAAATGACTAGGAAATTGGCAGAAGATAAGAAGATGAGTAAGAAAGAGAAAGATGAGAGGTATGATGGAGCTGAAGGGCTGTGCATTATAATCAGCACTAAACTGTGAGGTTTAAAGCCAGTTTAAACTTTTGGTCAGGCAGTTGTCATCAAACAGAACATTATTATAACATAAGAATCAACCAGCAAACTACTACAATGTGCGTTAATGAAAATGCCTGTCTTGTTCACAGAATACTATGGAAAAAGAATGAAGTTGCTGACTACGAAGCAACAACATTCTCCATCTTCTATAATAATGCTCTCTTTCTGGCCCTGGTCATCTTCTGCAGCTTCTATATCCTGAGGACATTTACTCCGGCAGTGTATCCTTTTGTGCGTCAGCAACAGAATTTTCGAAAAAAGAAATATAATTTTTTGACAGTTTTAAACCAGCGAGTCCAAAATCACTCCATGAACTGTTTCTGTGATGTAGTTGTATTTTATGTAGAGGATTTGTTTCTTTCCATCCAGGCAGTCATTTGACATGGCTTTTTAACACTTTTTGAAACGTTCCATAATGTAATGTGATACCCTGCTACCCTGGCTCATGAAAATGAAATAACTGTTGTGGTTAGTAACATGAGAGGCTGTATGGGTTCAAATGCTAGTAGAATGGGGTCACCAATTTTACAACTGGGGGTTATCGTTCTTTGAATAAGGCAGCCAAATTGTGAATTGAACCTCTTACTTCCATGTTGTACCTTGGAGCTTAACTTCTGTGTATCTTGAATGATGGCAACTGTATTGTTACCAGAGAAACACTCGTTTCCTTTCAATAAACATGATACTGAACTGTTGTTATATGTTTTATCTGTGATAACATTCTGCTCATATTCTGAGTAGCAGTTTTGTAGTGATGTGTTGGAATTTGTTGTTCCTTAATTTTGAACCCAGCAACTATGTTTTATCAGTCGGAGCTGCGGGAGGATTGCTTGCACTGCTGTCCACAGGTTCCCAGTGAACTTGCTGCATTTCTGTGTGAATAAATGAGTGAGAGAATCCATGGTACATTGAGCTGTTCATTGTAAATCATGTATACATGTTCATAACATCAGCAAATAAATATTATGAAGTAGAATGTTTCGTACTTAATTTGTATTGCTAGATCAGTTTGCTGCTTTGTAGGAAGTGAAGAAGCTGGGCTAGAATTAAAAGTAATTTAAAAACAACAAGAGATATTTCTGTTTATCATTTGTAGATTTGCTGTAAAACAGCAAGCTTACAAAAGAATGTTTTGAAAACTGTTCGTGTCTATTCTTCTAAAGATTTCACATGGTCATCTTAGTGTTCTACATTCTACATAGAAATTGATTTAAAAGCTGCCTAGTTTCCAAAACTTAGTTGTTATAAATGTGGGTTGTGTTCTGAGTTGTGATGCCATGTAGTCTTGTAGATGGCTACCGTTTCAGTTGAATGGTGTAACAATCCAGAATACAATCCACATTTTTATTGCCATTAAAACCTTAAAGTCTAACACTTAAATGCCACATGTAACAGTATAAAATGTTCATCAAATTATACATAGGCATGACAGTAAATTACATATAGAATAATATACTGTTAAATATTTTGAACAGCACTTAAAATCCATGAGCTAGGATCTAATATCTTTGTCAGTATTTATAACAATATGTATACTGAATTGACTTTTGAAGCCTGTTGTTAAATCAGGAGACAGATACATGCAGTTATCTGACAAGGTTCCAAAAAATCAAACCACACAGTTGAAGGTCATCAGAGTTTTATATTCTGTATGTTTCAAAATGTAAATCTTCTGAATTAAAAGACTAATTGTTACATTAAAATCTAGTGTTCACATCCCAGATCCCATTCACTTATGAGCCATCCACAACATAACAGCTAGCCTTTTATCTTAAGAACAGTAACTCTTAAGATGTCCCTCAGAACACAAATTCACAAAATAAAGGCCTGAACTGAGGTGCATAATCATGCACTCCATAAAATACCAAATTTGTTTAAAATATAATATTATGATTTATGCATAAAGAACAGAATGTGAGGCACTTCAGCCTAGGAGAGCGTGTTAGTGCTCATCCACTGCAGTTATGATATGGCTATAATATACATTCACACTCATTAATAATCATTTACAATAAGTGAATTATGAGAGTTACATCTTTACGCTTTAAATACAAGTTCCAAGTGAAAAATTTGGCAAGTTTAAAAGAATGATGGTAGGAAATTACAGCAATGAAAGTAAGTTGTTTCCTTAGTTAATTCTGATAGTTCTGTATTATTCACAAAACATTAAGGCAGCACTGTATAACTGCTTGCCTAAACTGTTCTCTCTACACTCATTTTTCACGTTTGATTTTAAGTCGTATGTCCAGAACCTTCATGATCTTGACACATGTAACTTGCATTAGCTGAACAGCAGAATTATCTATCATTATAAATACTTTAAAAATTGATATAATTTCATTTATAACTTACATGACAAGAACTGATATGACCAAAAAGTGTTAAACAGTTTTCTAAATGAAAATTTCATCTGTTTTTATTGGAAAAAAAAAGTTTTGGTAAGGGATATATAACCAAAACTGTCATGAAGATTATGTTATTCACACAAAGTTTCTAAAGTTCTTCACTTGAGTTTAAAATAAATAAAGTAATTTACACTTAAAACAGTCAGTTGAAATGTTTTCCCTTGATTAAGTGCAGCTGCCATGAATATCATATGAAACAGTATGTAAGAGATTGGGCCTTATTGTCTTCGCCTAATATACTTTCACGGAAGCAATGCAGACAAAACTGTGACAAGGATGGACAAGGATGTAAACTTTTAATACACATTTGACCATCATATGAAATAAGAAGAACAGTTGAAAATTAACTGTAATGGATTCTCAGGGTGTCCCACTCATTGTGGAACCTGGCATTACATAATACCACTGCAGCAGTGAGTGAACTACCAGAAAATGAATATGTTCTCATGATGCTTTGTGTCAGCTATCATATCCCATTCTCCTCTGATTCTGTAGCAAAAGTTCTCTCTACCTGTTTGGCTACATAAGGTTTGTTCCACTGGTTTCATTCACAGATGTTTACTGATACAAATACCTTGCTTATGGGTCAAAATGTATGTCAGAAACCATTTTTAAAACATACCAGTTCAACTGACTTCTGGTCAAAAAGCCTCTCATGTAATATTCAGGCCAGCCAGAAATATGTTCTGATTGTCATGACATATCTAGGACATCATTCCAGAAAGGCACCTCAACAAAACAGCTGATTTACACGGGACTAAATTGTAACATCTACTTGGTTTGACTGATATGCATTATTAGAGTTTCTATGTTCAGATGTAACTATCTATATATCTGTGTAGAGCAGCATTAGCATTATGCCCTTATGGCATGATGTCTTCAATATGTTCAGCTGGGTTGTTCTGCCTTCTGCCAAGACACACATCAGTCATTGCCTTTAACTGATGGTAGGGTGAATCTACAGTTTAGTGTGGACTTTGGTACATGGTGCAACCTAATATTCCTCATGCTCACAAAGCTTTTATCATGTCTCAGATATGGAAAAGGGAATTAATATAGAAATATCTGCACTGCGTCTCATACTTCTAACATTTCCTTGATAACACCAGTGCCTTTCACTTACACCATTAGGCTAATATTCTACAAGTAATAAGCCATGAAGAAGTAAAATGTTCATTCATTGTTTGACTTAATGTTGTTTCTTGGCTCTAAAACCCTGTTGTGGGTTTTTGCCGCCTCCTTTTCAGAGGTCTTTTGGTTGTGCGTGAAGTAGTGAGCGACCAGCTCACTGACTGCACAATTTCTACTCAATCCTGATTTGACTGCCAGAGCCATCTAGTGGTTAATCAGGAGACTTTGTGGGTGAGAAACGGCCACTGAATTTTGCTTACAAAACATCTCTTATCATGCTCGTAAGGTTCTTTTACATGCCATAAATCTATGACATGGAACCGCAGGCTTTACTTCCCCTTCGAAGGAAGTTGTGCTACGGATTTTTATCACCCTTAAAAATCCATCGACCTTGGCTGGGATTGAACCCGCGAACCTTGGGCAAGCACGCTAACCACTAGTCCACCGAGGGCAACACTGTGACTGTTTACTGACCATTATTAACATACTGACTTCAGACATAGAACATGGAAAAATATCAGGTTTAAATGGAATCAAAGACTGTGACTGCTATGTAATAATAATAATATATTATAAATATAAACCTTAGGGACAAGGTCTGTCTCGGGTACATGGAAGTACATACCCCATAAAGTGGTGAATAGATGGGACAATAATAATAATAATTGTATATATATATATATAATATACTGCAGGTTACACATGATGTTCATATAACTACATATATTTATAATGTAACTGTTACATGATAAACTACATTTATGATATAAGTAGTACTGACATTTATACAAAGAATACACTGACCAAACAATCTCTACAATGCATCATTAAAAAAAATAGCAGTTTGTAAATATTCCACTTATGTAAGAAAACTATTTTTGTTGGTAAATTGCTTAGCATTATACTCATGTTCCACATCTATTGAAAACAGCCATTCACTCACAACTTGTCCATTTGTTGTCTCACAAAGAGACAAACAGCTGAGACAATAAAAAAATAATTGTTTTTCAGGTAACTAGAAGCAAAATGATGCAGAAACACACTGGATTTGGTACAGGCCTCTGGTTTTAGAGAACATAATTTGTAATTCACAAAATTAAATTATAAATACTTTAATAACAATAATTATATATTAAAAGTACACAAATTCAATACTAACTTTATAATCACGAACAACATGTATTTTAACCAAATTAAAAGCTATTATCACATTGGCAATTTTATAATTTATTAATTAACCAATTATCAATTATTTTAAAATCACTTTAATATATATAGCAACATTTAATTCTTGTGGCCAGTACAGTTATATTAATGTTATGAAAATGGTACAGAAGCAACATATTTTGAAAAGAAATATTTTTATAATCTAATTTTTAAATCAGTATCGAATGTACACAATTGTTACAGATGGAACATATTTGTGGCACATGGGTATTTAATTTTTAATGTTTTAAATACCAGTATTATGTCTTAACTGGAGGTACTCCAGCTGTTCCATCTGCCATTACAAATACTTAAAATAATTTATACACAGGGAAGTAGTTGACACTTTGTCACTATATACAGTATACCTGAGAAAAGCAGATTTTATATGCAAAAAAATTCTCAAAAAGAGATGGCATATTTAAACAATCAAAATGTTATTTTGAAATGTTTGAATGTAAAGATGTATATTGCTATAACATATATATTCTATACACAGAATATGTTTTTAATATCACATTGAGTGCTTTAATAAATAATATTTGTCATTTATGTTTCAATTCTCAAAAATGCTAAAATCTAAAGCTTTCTTACAAGTTAAACAAAGACTTTGCAATGATTTCTTCTTTTTATATAAAGAGCATACTAATCATTATGCAATTATAAAAAAAAATTCCCTTTGAACAGTTTCTCTGTTAACGCCTCCAAATCTCCATCTTGTAAGTCACTACCTATACTGAATTAAAATATTGGAGTCATCGTCATTGTATTTTCAAGAGCCTGGAAACTGTTGGCCTATCTTTGTGATTTGTGGAGAGCAGAACAATTTGCATATTAACAGTGTGCATTAAATGCCACTTTCTCACATTAATGCCAACTGGGAATCTGCTAGAAGAAACCAATTGATAAAATACTGTCAAATGGCATATGAGACTTAAGGTTCTTATGACAGACATCGATGTAGTAACACCATGTGAACTTGTAGGGAGACACCAACATTTTGGAAAATCACACTATCTCCACCTTCAGCCTTGAAGATGGAGACATTAAGTTTCTTTCAAATGTTGGTATCTATCTGCATATCTCTCTTTTTCTCTCTGTGGTGCAGGATATTCTTTGTAAAGTCGATTGTTACTCGGCTTGTCAAAGAATAGCCCACTTTCTTTGTGGAACCGAAGATTCATCACCATGTTCACAAAATCCCACCACCAGACTTTATCCTGAGCTAGATGAA